AACCGCTCTGAGTCAGGCACAGGACCTCCGTCTTCGTCGGATTCAATTTCAATCGGCTCAGTCTCAGCCATCCCGCCACATCCTGAAGCGCCCAGTTCAGGTCTTCTGAGGTAGAGCCTGACAGGCCGCCCAACAACAGGTAGAGCTGGGTGTCATCTGCATATTGGTGACAACCCAGCCCATGCCTCCGGGCAATCTGGGCAAGGGGGCGCATATAGGTGTTAAATAACATCGGGGAGAGTACTGCCCCTTGTGGCACCCCACAAACTAGTGGGTGCCTTCGGGATAGTTTCTCCCCAAGAGCCAACCTTTGTCCCCCTGGAGAAAGGAGACAAGCCACTGTAAAGCAAGTCCCCAAATCCCCATGTTGGCGAGGCAGTGGGCGAGCAGCTGATGATCGACCGTGTCGAACGCTGCTGACAGGTCCAGCAACAGCAGCACCGCCGTCCCGCCCCGATCCAGATGCCTCCAGAGGTCATCCGTGAGGGTGACCAGTGCCGTCTCCATCCCGTGGCCCAGGCGGAAACAGGATCTTTAAACAAGGTTTATTTCTACCTCCCCACCAACATCTTGGAGAGAAAAAACACAAGGAAAATAATGATTGTAAAAATCCTGAGATATACATTTTTTCCTTTGGTCAGATTGTACCAATCAAGTTGAAATCCAAAAACAAAATTCATGTAACATCCTTTATTAAGACCAATCAAAAAGACATGAAATGATGCATGCTTTTGAGTTCTCCTGAACTCTTTATTAGTCTACTGGCTTTAAGAAAGGGGAGGAGGGTGAAAAAGTTGTTTTTCATGATCTTGAGCTTTCTGTCTGCTCCTGTATGGAGAGACATTAAGATTTATACGGCATCTCTAGAAGACCTCAAGATCATGGCCTGAAACAACTCTTTCCTCACTTTTAACATCCCGCCTGATGAAGCTGGATTTACCATAATGAGGCTCGAGCCAAGGGATCTCTCAGATCAGGCTGGCAGGAACTCATTTAGGATGGGACTAAGGACATGACCACGGAAATGTCTTCAGACAGCGCTGGCTCTTCGACTTTGAAGCGGAGATGAGCACCGCAACCCTAGAGTCGGATTCGACTGGCTTTCGAGCAAGGGAACCTTTACCTTTAAGGACATGATTACCAGATTTCTCTGAGAGAAAGTTAACAATGAGAATTAAAACTATTTGCATGCATATACACTTGCCAATGCCTAGTAAGGTGGAAAGCTAAAACAGCTGAGTTTATTTAAAACTTTCCATGTATATTGAAAGCTATAGCACATTTCAGTAAACCTCACTGCCCAACTAGCAAGAGGCTTAATTATCATTACAATTTATGGAAACGAATTAAAATGAAACTGAAGAATGCTATAAGAAGGGGAGCAAAAGGATCCAGAGATTCAGTCTTGCCATTTTATAAGAAATGAATCAAAGGCAAACAAATTATGGCTAAGAACAGTACTTTTAAGTGTTACTGTCTTCTTCATACATTTATTTGTTTGATAGGTATGAATGCCATGTCTTGACATCCAAATTTAATTAAGTTTGCAGCTTTGCCATAGGATGTAATTATCTCAACAATTCATCATAAAAGCCCTGTGCATGTGTTACTTTTAACCATGAGAAGAGAATGAGATTACATGTGCTGTGCTTACTACAGACCTCCACATGTTCAGAAGACAGTCCGAAGACAACTATGTGCACCCATCTCAAGGGTTCCCAATCAGTGTTCCCTCTCAGCTGAGTTAGTGTGAGCTAGCTCACAGATTTTTTATTTATTTATTTTATTTTATTTAACATTCGGCTTGATATCCCACTCTAATCCCTTGGTTACGGGTCTCTGAGCGGCTTACAGGTTTTTAGCCTTCAGCTCACACATTTTTTTCTTTGCTCAGGAAGGATGGCTCCAGAGCAAACTAATTTATGCAGTAGCCAAATCACTCACTCACAGCTTTAATGCCAGCAGCTCACAAAATAGAATTTTTACTCACAAGACTCCACAGCTTAGAGGGAGCATTATTCCCAATAATGAGAAGACAGTTGTATGCATGCAGGCCTTATAAAAGCATTGTTACAATAAGTCGTCTTTGTAGTACAATATATTTGCAGGTGTTTTTATGCCACTATGATGAAATATATAGTTGTATAGTATAACACACACATTCTCTATATGTCAGATAGAATCAGTACATAACACAGACCCAAGATTAATTTTCTAAATATAGAGTGCTACAAATAGCTTGCAAGACTTAGTTGAATAGTGTACAGCTGCTGTATAATCTACACTCTGCACTTCATCAGACAAAGCTACAACTGCCAAGCACAATCTAATAATTAGCATACGCAAGGGGAAGGACATGACATCAGCGTATCTGCGTGACATAAAATCAAATATTTAGAAACAAATCCAAAAGCTAATATAACCACAGAAATTTCCAATAAATGACTGCTGGAGAAAGAAACCAGCAGGGGCCACTGACTTCTAAATCCTAGTGAATAGAAACAATTTCTAAGCAAATCTTAC